TCATTCTCATCTATTCCTGTAAGGTTTTATAATTGTGAACTCTAAAGAAAGAGAGGATGCTTTTTTTTTTTTTTTTTTTTTTTAAACGCTCCAAATGTGAATTTGAAGAACAATTCACCTGCAAAAGCAGCGGCACACATGAGACAGTGTGAAAGCTGCGGTGCTCTGTTAGGGAGGGGTTTTATTTTATGCTCAGGACCCCCCCACCCACTAAGACTTTATGTGTTTTAAAGGAATGTCTGGACATACAGTCCTGAATCCTCACTCATCGGCATCATCAACTGTAATAAATAAGCTTTTATCAAACGAGGAAAAAATTAATAAAATGATCCGATGCCTGAACGTCCTTCATTTATCCAAAACAACACATCTGCAAGAATCAATGGAGAAAAAAAATCAATAAAGATGCTTTCAGAGTAAAAAAAAAGATGGGCGGTTTTTAATTATCCGATGCAGACATTGAAGTATCTCCCGGTTTCTGCAGGGAATCTCTGACCTGAGCCGCATCGCAGGACAAAAGCCGCTCTGCCGTCAGACGAGGCTGCAAAATGACTAGCAATGACAGAAAATGGGACTTGGTGATTGCGGATGACAGGAGTGAGACTTCCTGTGATTAGATGCAAACCAAAGTCAGATTGCGAGAGATTGCTGCAACTTAGAGAGGCGAGAAATGGAGGATTGGAACAAACAGTTCTTCTATTCTTTCCCTTTTTCTTTTTTCCTTTTAGAAAGTCCTGAACTATTTGGGCTTACCCATGGCTGTCATTAGATCTGTGAAGCAGAGTAAGAGAGAGGAAAGGACTCTTCCAAAGGAAAAAAAAAAAATGAAAAGGCTCAGATGCATAGAAGGTGAGGATTTATTTTTAAAACATCAAAATGAAAAGCTGTACATTCTTTATCATATGTGCATTATATACAATTCTGCTTTTGAAATGTTCAGACTCCACCGAAAATGTCTCCAGATGAAATTTTTCTAAGCTACTCCTGTCAGTCCCATCAGGTGGCTATAACCGCTGGAAGTCTTAGTCGCTCTCCAAGGTGCTTATTTCCATCTGCCCACTTTGTCCAAGCAGAGATAGCAGCTTTATGTACGCACTCCTGTAACAGACGGATGTGTCACATATATATATAAAATAAACAAACTAATCGTCTAGACGGCTTATAAATAGATGAAGGTGGTGAAAAATGCCCGGTGTGATTCATCGGCCTGCTCACCTCAGGGCGATGTTCTTGCCCAGTCCTCGTTTGTGTTCCACGTTCCTCAGACACAGAGTCAGGTTGGGGATTAGAGCTTGAACCACGGCGGGATCCAAGACAGCCACCGTCTCCAGGACGCCGTACACCTGCCTGTCGTAGACGCCCACGTTCTCCTCCACGAACGACCTGAGAGGAAATTCCAAGTTTACAGTCAATCGCATTTTTCCTGCCAA